AGAGAGTAAAATCTGTATTAGTCTTCATTAAATGTAGCATATTGTTGTACATAATCGATTGCTTTATTTTTGGTGTCAGCTTTTGGTCAATATACTAACCTTAAAAGGTCAAAGTGGGAAAATGTAGTAGTAGTAGACAAATTAGCAATTAGAGGAGGCAATAACAATTACAATTCCTTTAGGGAAAGGGGAAGGAAAATCATTTATTAAGAGGAAAGAAATTGAAAAATGGCACACAAAAAAAAGGTGGAATGAAGATAAAAATGAAGAAGGTTATATAAAGTACAAAAGTCAGTATTAAATAGAAATATTAATGAGAGAAACCGAAGGGAAGAAATAATGATCAGATTAAGAGTAGGTCATACTTATTTAAATGACAATTTATACTTAATAGGGAGGAAAAATAATGATAAATGTGAAGGATGTGGAGAGATAGAAAATATAGAACACGTATTGATGAACTTTAAAACATCTGGACCTGAAAGGAAGAAATTGAAAAGAGGACAGGCCAAGAATGGAGTCTTAAAGGATTATTGGGAAATAAAGGAAATATAAAAGATATTTATAGATTAAGGAAAGCATTATTTATTTATCTTCAGAATACAAAATAAAAAAATAGAATTTAATAGATGTAAAACAATGTTGCTACACACTCATGAACAGTAGGTGGCGGTATGCCCGACCCTTTCCTAGAGCCCGGTGGGATCGAAAACATTTTGAATGGAAATCAGTGGGGAGAAATTAATAAACTTCTGGTCCCAGTCGCTCTCTGTCATTGATTCCAGATATGCTGGTTGTGTATTCAAATTGTTTTTTGTTTTTTTTAGTTCCTCTTTGGTCAAAATCTGGTCAAAACCCATCAATGAGATCGCACCAAACAGGAAGTTAAATGCAGAAAGGATCCGGTAGATTTCCAAATAAAACACATCCGATCTTAACCCATGATCCTTTTTTTAAACTAATTTAATTAGTTTCTCCCGTATGCCACGACGTAATGCATTGATCTGAAAATCAACCTCAGACGCAACGCACTCAGTGGCGAGGGTTTGATCCGTCAGATGGAGTTAAATCACAAAGAATTCAATGTTGAATCGGGGCGGCAGCTAAATGCTAGGCGATGGGTAGCAGCCTAAACGTTGCAATTTCACATAATCCTGACAAGATCCGAAAAACCGTAGCAAAAACTAGCAAGCGGGTGATTATGTATGTTCACGAAGTAAATATTATGTAAATAAACCCTACACTTCTCGCTATAAATGTAATCAAAACCCATTTAAATGCAGAAACTGATTGAAATTATTGATTTTCCCACTAAAAGTTAGAGAAATCTCAGCCATGTTTATACCAAAATGTTACAGTTTCACATTATCTTGAAAAATCTTTGCAAGAAACGAACAAGCAAGTGAATATGTACATTCCCTGAGTAAATATTCTGGCAACAAACTATACATTTCTCACTAGAAATGTAATCAAAACTCATTTTAATGCAAAAACAAACTCAAGTTATTAATCTTTCCACAAAAAAATGAGCGAATGTTGGCCATCTATATATATTTTTTTCTTCTCCCAGCTGGAATCTTGAAAGTCACGTGACTAGGACGTAAAACAATAGAAAGCGTATAGGCAGAAGAAACGTAACAGTACCACAAAAAAATGGCCATTAATGTACCTCCACTACGTTTTGCAGTGTGGACCAACGTAGTGGGGGTACATTTTCCCATGAGACTGGGTTGGAGAAAGTACAACAAGAGGGCCTAAGCCTTGGCAATGGTTACCATCTGTATGTAGATCATTTCTACACCAGCCCTGTTCTGTTCTACAAACCGGCATGCATTCACAATGTTACATGTGGCACCATCCAGCAGAGGTAATTTGGCTTCCCAAAGACGATAAATACCTTGCTCAATTTAGCTGCAAAAAGAGACATGAGATGACTGCAAAAGGATGGACTTCTGTCTGTAAAATGGAAACACCAGGGAGGTGACAGTTTCAGTGGAAAAACCGTCCAGAGGAGAGTCAAGAAAGTGTGTCAGGGGTGTTCAAAGGACATTTCTGTTCCTGATTCTGTGAAGAACTATAATCAGTTAAAGAGAAGTAGATCAGTGAGAGAAGTAGATTTGTCAGATGCCTTGATCCATTCAAAATCTGTCAGGGAAAAAGCATGAAATGGTACAAGATATTTTTTCTATCATTTCATGGATATTTTTATTGTACACTTTCTTAGTTGTAGGCCGCTGGAAAATGAGACACAGAGAAAGTTTAACATTTCACTTACAAAGAATCTGAAAACGGTGAACTTCAGGAAGCGAGTTGAACTTTCAGGTTGGTCTGAGGGGAAAAAGCAGAATGATTGAGAAGGAGTTTGTTGATAACAACTGATAATTGATTTGTTCACTTGAGAGATGAAGTGAATTTAACCCTGTAAAGCTCAAACCATTAAATAATAGACAGAAAATTCCAGTTCTTTGAAACTGGAGCCTTTATTAGTCCTTCTGAACAAAAAAAAAAAAAAAATCAAATATCAATTTCCATATAGGAATTTTAATTTGTATCATATTTGATACAGCGGGTTACAATGCTCAAAGATTTTTTTTTTCTTGAACAAAAAATACACAAACAAATCCAACAAAAACAATGCAGCAATGGAACTGGCAGGGTGGAAGTCTGGAAGACATAACATTTCAGTTCTTTTTACTCATTTTACGATTGACACACTTTCTAATTTTGAGTGATGATAGGCTTGAAAACAGTTTCTGTCCTTGTTCAGACAAAGATGCACTCTGCATTTCTCACAGTACACATGGGCAAAGTGGCCTACGCAGTGCTTGCATCTCTGTCGGGTTGCCCATGTTGGGAAATGATGAAGGCCATCTTTTCTCACATCAAGGGGCAGCTCAGGGGTTTTCCTCTTCCAGGGAGTGGTTGGCGAGAGGACAGTGGTCTGCCACACTTTTTGACCTTTCCTGCGCTTATGAGGGCGGTGCCAACAGAAGCCTGAAACCTTTGAAGGGGCAGGGCTTTCTGCCTGGGCTGCAGTTTTTCCAGGTCTCTTCTGTAGCGGATCCTCCGCACTGTACAAGTTAGTTTCTTCTGCAATTTCCTGTAGCATTTCCTCCCTCACAAAATCTTTGAAATACATATATGGTGTCCAGTCAAGTCTCTCATCAGAGTCTTCGTCAACACATTCCACAAACTCTACAGATGGAGGTTCAAACTGTTTTCTTCTCAACCAATACTCCTTTTTTACTTTGCCCCTTGCCAACAGCTTTGGTGTTGTGTCCTCTTCTGGGATTTCTGGTCCTTCATCATTGCCACCTGGGTTTTCCTCTTCCTCATCATCACTACTTTCTGGGCTTTCACCAATCTTTGCAGTAGGAGCCCATTCCTCCTCATCGTCTTCCCAGAGCTGCTTAATGTCAATTGAATTCCCATCTATAATCATCTTCAGAGCATCTTAGACACAATTTTTTTGCAAGATTATTGTGTATTTTTCATTTGAAATGGTCAGTTTTTAATGAAAATCATTAAGCAAATCGTAGTTGCTCTCCATCGTACCATTGCACCACCCAACTAGTCATCATGGTACAGCAATTTGCATACAATTATTTTGCACTGAATTTACCAAGTAATGTAATTTAAACATTTAATTAGTTTACTTGAAAAACAAAAAGACTGTATGTTGCTTGATTTTATTTATAATGCATGAAATACAATATAATGACAATTGACTGATTTATGGTTACATGACCTTATACACCTGCTGTATCAAATTTGATACGTCTTTTTTAACACAGTTTTACTAAACCATAGATTATGAAATATTAAGTAATTTCACATTGCATCAACCCAGTAACTGTTCCTATTGAGGTTTCACAAAAAAAAATTACATTTTTTTCTTACCATAACGTTTTCAAAATTGGCAAAGTTCTTCTGAAAAGTTTATGGCAGTCTTGTAGCATGGCTGGAAAGCCCTCTAGTGGTAGTAAGAAATCACATTTCTTACTACCACCTGGTGGATGATCTATGTACTGCATGTATATAATTGTATACATTGGGTTTTTCAGGGGAAAATTTTTTACACTGTCATGTGGAGGGCTCAAAAACTCATGTATCACATATAATACGTTTGGCTTTATAGGGGTAAGTATGGAACGTAGGTAAAAGATTGAGGTAGTGTGGATCTGTAGGGGTTTGATTCAGCAGGCTATGCAGACTGTACCTCAGGGGTCCAAGAGAATATAAGTGAGATCTGAGAGCATTGGTACTTCTTACAGACATTGTACTTCTTTAGACAAACTGACACAATTTAGCTGATTTATCTCTTCATTTTTTATATTATGCTGTTTCCATTATTGCATTTAGATAGCCTAAAACCAGACTAAAAACTAAAGGTGATCGTGCCTTTATGGCAGTGGCACCGAGGCTCTGGAATAACTTGCCTTGGCATGTTAGATCAGCAGGCTCCTTTGAGGTTTTTAAATCCTCTTTAAAATCACATTTCTTCTCCCTGGCTTTTAATCATGTCTAAGTGGACATTTGGCAAAATTTTATTTTTAATTTTATTTTATTCTAAAATGTATTTTAATTGAAACATTCATCTTATTCTATTTTTATGTGTTTATGTATTTTAGCCTTAGCTTTTATCTTATGTTCCTTAACTGCGAGTCCTGTACAGCACTTTGGTCAACCCCGGTTGTTTTAAATGTGCTTTATAAATAAAGTTTGAGTTGAGTTGAGTTGAGATATAAAATGGGGGTAAATACTATGAAAAAAAAATTTGTGATATGCAAAAGTAGCCATACATTGAAATCAGCTATTTTATTTTCTATTTCATTTACAAGAATATAGAAAACTAATAGAAAGCTAGATGTGTTGCATAAAGAGAAAAAAATAAATTCATTCAGCAACACTGATATGGAGTCAGAGGCAGAAATTCCTGTTTGGTTAGTTAAATGTGTGTAATGTGTTGTGGGCGGGCTTATGCCTAAGGTGTGTGAGAAACATGTTTCTATCAGGTGATTTATTGGCACAGAGATTTTTATGAACCTCTGAAGGACAATTCATTAGATTCGACTGAACTTTTCAATAGAAGATAAAGAAGAAGTTGTGGAGTTGTCGTCTCTTTAAAAATGAGAGAAGCCACATATATGGTAAGTAGGTCACACCAAGTAAATATTTCTATAGTTTTTTTCTTGTAACTCAGAGTTAGCCCAAGTAATGAGTAATCTGCTTACCATAAGAGCTCTTCCATAAATACTTGAATTTAAACATAGATAGAAAAAAAATATATATTTTTTATTGAGAGTAATAGATTTTTAAACTAGATTACAAAAAATTTATATGTTTGAGACTCTTTTCCCAGGTGAAGTCTTACTGTAACAATTATTTCTCTCTTCCTTGAAAAGAAAATAGTGGATGTACTGTAGATAGACATATTTATAACTCTGTATTCTTAGCTTTTATTTTGTTTTTTTCTAAAGTTTATATAGTTTTAACAATTTGTACAATTGAATTGTTTGAGATGGAAGTCAAAAGTCCTACAAGTGGTGTAGCGACTACCAACCACCTTTTTGTCGCTTGCGGGTGCGGGGAATCTGGGATTTAACACGCTTAAAAGAGGAGATGGAAACCAGGATATGAGGTATGGGCGTTCCCATTTATTGAAGTACGTTTGTATATGAACAAACTTTCCAAACAATCAGAGTAGCGGTCTTTACATCAAGTGAGATGGACAGGTAACTATGGAGAATGTGAAAGATAACAGAGTTTAACCGGAGGACGCAGGCTATTGTGTGCCAAAGAAAGCGGTAAAAACCGTATGACCTCCCGTCACCCAAAACCCTTTCTGCCCCCTCACGTCTTACCTATAAAGCATTCCCCTCCACACCGCCACCAGTGGTAGAGCAGAATATAGGTCACCGCCACCCAAAACAAATAACCCAGAAACAAACCATACCTAAACACCAACAACTATAAATGGCTCCTACACACCGGCCCCAATTGTGTAGACAGCACAATTCAACAAACATCAAAACAGGAGCCCCAGAAATGTACAGGCCCAAGCATTTTTTATTTTTTTATTTTTTTTTAAGTTGGTTCAAATGGCTTCTTGAAGAAGAAATATTTTGGAGATGGGTCTTTCCAGTTGTCCTGTTTGTGTCTTCAACTGTACAGCACGCACAAGTCCATGTTTATCTGGGTAAGTATTTGTAACTCTTCCGAGGATCCAAGAACCACGAGGAGCAGAACGATCCACAACCACTACGATATCGTCAACAGCAAAACTTCGCCGAGGTCTGGACCATTTCTGTCTTTCTTGCAGCAAAGGTAGATATTCCTTTGTTCATCTTTTCCAGAACAGGTCGGAGAGGTACTGCACTTGCCTCCAACGTTTCCTGAGGTAAACATCACTTTCTTGAAAAACACCAGGAGCAACAGTAGGCCTTCCTTTGAACAGCAGAATATGATTTGGAGTTAGAGCTTCCAAATCATTTACATCATCCGAAACCTTTGTAATGGGGCGATCATTAAGGATAGCTTCCACTTCACATAGAATGGTTTGAAGACTTTCGTCATCCAAGGTTTGCTGGTGAAGAACGGAAAGTAACACCCTTTTGACCATTCTGATGAGCCGTTCCCACACTCCTCCATGATGGGATGCAGCAGGTGTGTTAAAAATCCAGTCAATCTCTTTCAACAACAGGGCTTGATGGATTTTTGTATGATCTACAGCTCCCAAAGCCTCCCTTAACTCACGCTCTGCACCAATAAAATTGGTGCCATTATCTGATCTCATTTGCCGTACTGGACCTCTGCGACATACAAAACGCCTGATGGCATTGATGCAGGAGTCAGTTGTTAATGAATGAGCCACCTCCAAATGTATGGCTCGACTGGCCATGCATGTAAAGATAACACCGTATCTTTTAACCATAACACGCCCTCTCTTGACCTCAATGGGCCCAAAGTAGTCCACACCTACATTAGTAAACGGTGGGAATTCTGGACAGACTCGTTCCTGTGGCATATCAGCCATTTTCTGCTCTGCTGGTTGTCCTCTGTGGCGTCTACATACAACACATTCAGATAATATCTTTCTGCAAGCTGAGTTGGCGCGAGTAATCCAGTATCTTTCTCTGAGAGCTGACAGCATATGATTTCTACCTGCATGACCAAGCTGCTGGTGGAGGTCTCTCAGAATTAGTTTGGATACATGCTGGTCTTTAGAGAGGATCAAAGGATGTTTCTGTTCCTCAGGTAGGACTGAGCGACTAAGCCTACCCCCCACTCTCAATAAACCTTGATGTAGTACTGGATCAAGCCTGTAAATGTTGCTTGTGTTCTTAACAACAGATGCTCCACTTTGCAGATCTTTAATTTCCTCTCTGAAGCTGGCATGCTGGCTGTAACGGATAATGGCAACCTCTGCCTTAGAAATGTCCTTTACTGTAAGAAGTTGTTTACAAATGGCAGCTCTGTTCTTTCTCATCTCCTCTTCCATCCTCCTAGGAGCTATAGAAGCGTCAACAGAGGGACCCGTTGCCATCAACTCTTTCCTCTTCGTACTCATGCTGAGCAGAACATCCTTTAATTTGAGCAACCAAGCAACTGAAATCTTAAGTTTGGCCCAGCTTGAAAAATAATGGACAAACTTAGTAGTAGCATCATGCGGTTGTGTGTCAATGGCATTTATCAGTATATCTCTTTTCACCTCTGGGTCCTCAGAACAAACAGGCTGGGGTTCAAAGGGCTCTGGCCACTCCTGCTCGGGCCTTTGGAGGAAATCCGGGCCATTTATCCACCTCTTGCATGACATAAAGCTGTCTGCAGAAAGACCTCTGGAGGCCTCATCTGCTGGATTGGACTTGGAACTGATGTACCTCCACTGAAACACATTGGTAGCCTCTCTTATTGCAGCCACTCTATTTGCAACGAAGGTGTGAAATCGTTTGGTATCATTACTGATGTATCTCAACACCGTTTGACTGTCTCTCCAGAAGAATGAGCTATTCAGCTGGATAGAGAGCTCCCTTTTCAACATTCTGTCCACCTTGACAGCCAACACAGCGGCAGTGAGTTCAAGGCGGGGAATTGTTGTCTGCTTTAATGGAGCTACTCTAGCCTTTCCAAGCATGAAAGCCAAATGCACATTTCCTCCTTCATCTTGTACCCTCAAATAAGACACTGTTCCATATCCATGGTCACTACCATCTGCAAAATGATGCAACTGGACAAGTAAACGTCCTTTAAAACTACTTGGCTTGATGCAACGCCTCACTTTAAACCCTGCTATTTTCTCCAGGTCCTGATACCATGATGACCAAAACTGTGACATAGACTGGGGAATAGGGTCATCCCAAGACAAATTTTGTCTACATGCTTCCTGTAACAACAACTTAGGTTGCAAAGTGTAAGGTGCCAAGAAGCCAAGAGGGTCATAGATTGAACTGACCATTGAGAGAATGCCACGCCTAGTGTGAGGCTTTTTTTCCACAGCAAGTTCAAAGCAAAATGTATCACTCTCTGCACTCCAGCTGAGGCCCAGCGCTTTCTCCACAGGCAGCCTGTCTCGTTCCAGGTGAAGTTGTCTTGTTGGTTTGGAGCGCTTTTCTTCTGGAATGGTTGACAACACTGCTCGGCTGTTGCTTGTCCATTTCAACAGCTGAAATCCTCCCTTTGAGCACAAATCAGTGAGATGCACCACCAACTGTACTGCCTCTTGCTCTGTGGCCACAGACTTCAAACAGTCGTCAACATAAAAATTTTTGTAGATGGTGTCAGTCACATACTTGTTGTAGCTGTTTGTATTATCTGCTGCTGTCTTTCTTAGAGCATAATTGGCACAGCTTGGTGATGAGACAGCTCCAAAGATATGCACTTTCATCCTGTGTTCGACTGGTTTGACCGATGTATCTCCTAATGGCCACCACAAGAAGCGGAGAAAATCCATATGTTTCTCTGACACCTTCACTTGATGAAACATAGCCTGGATGTCTGTCATCAATGCAATGTTCTCCTCTCGGAATCGGGTGAGCACACCGAACAGGGAATTTGTAAAATCAGGCCCCTGTAGCAGCTGGCTATTCAACGAGGTGCCTTTATAGCTTGCTCCACAATCGAACACCACTCGCAATGTCCTCTTCTTTGGGTGGTAAACTCCGTGGTGGGGCAGATACCACACACCTCCATCCTTGGGTTCCAGCTGGTCATGAGGAACAACCTCAGCATAGCCTTTGTCAATTAGGTCAGTAACAAATGCTGTATATTCTTCCTTATAGGCCTTGTTCCTGTCAAATTTTCTTTTGAGACTTTGAATGCGTTGCTCCACAATACATCGGTTATTGGGCATGATTGTTTCATCCTTATTAAAGGGCAAATCCATGCAGTAATGTCCATCTTGGATACAAGCTGATTGCTCCAATATTTTCATAAACTTCTTGTCCTCCATTGACATTTCATGCTCCTCTTGCAGTGTCTTCTCACTGAACTCCATATTGTATTGAGACACCAACAGCTCCTCCAATTTGACAATGGAAATCCGATTAGTGTAAGCAGTAGGACAGCCTTTCTGACCACCATTTCCACTCCTTAAAGGTCCGTTTATGACCCATCCTAATAGGGTTCTCACGGCATAGGGTCCATCACCTTTGCTGTTTATAATCTCCCATGGCTCCAGGAGCTTTGGTGCGTTTGTCCCAATCAAAAGTCCAACATCAGCATCCAATTCTGTGATCTTAATTTTTTTTAAATATTCCCATTTCTCAACATCTTGCTGACGGGGAATGTTGGTCTTTGAAACGGGAATAGTTTCTTGGGTGTAGACCTCTGGAAGCTCTATGAAGTTGTTTTCTTCCAGCTCAGAAATTTCCAGTCCAGAAACACAGTGGCTAGGCACCACTTTTTCTTGACCCATGGTGCACAGCAGAATATTAGTCCTTTTACTTTGTAGATTTAGATGGTTCATTAGCCTACTGGTGATAAAAGTGGCTGTACTCCCAGGATCTAAGAAGGCATAGGTCTGCAACACCGTATCTCCTGTCTTAGACCTAACTTTAACTGGAACAATAGATAAAGTACAGTCGTGGTCCCCGGCCCCAGTACAAGAACCAACCTGGTGAGACACAAACGCACTACTTACTGATGGTTCTTC